GCACCTGTTCCCCCTCAGGCCTGTGGCCGTGCCTGTGGGCAGAGAACAGTCATCTAAAGGCAAAGTTGCCTTTCAAGATGATCGCCACCGTTCGCGTATCACAAATCTCACTGTTCGGGGAGATGATCGTGTCCTGCTGAGGGACCCCAACAAGGTGCTTTCTGGCAAGACAGAAGTGTAAAGTGGGCCGGAGACATTTGTGGGACCAGGTTTTTGTTTTAAACTCACCCGTGCACCAACTCAAGTCACCCAGTTGATCTCAACAGGCTCCGTTCTTCAAAGAGCTGACCGAATACCCCAACACATTCCTGGCTCTGAGTGATTATAACAAGGTCGCAGGCTATAGGGCTAATATTCAAAAGGCACTGCCTTTCCCAGATGCCAGCAGGAAACAGAAGATACAATGAAAAGCAGTACCATTTGCATTAATACCAAGGGGGGAGGTGGGGACAGCAGAAAGATGTAGGTATAAATTGTGCAAAATATAAAAAACAATATGAGGAAAACTACAAAACTCTACTGAAAAAAAATGAACCATCTCAATACATGGAGACAGAGTCTAGGCTCAGGACCCACGTCCGTCGAGTCAGTCCATGACTCTTAATGACTCTATACACTGGGCTTCCGAGCCTGTCAATCTTTACAGGAGCAGACAGCCTCGTCTTTCTCCGGAGAACTGGCTGGTAGGTTTGAACTGATGGCTTTGTAGTTAGCAGCCCCACAGTTAGGATCCCGACAAGACAGTAGTAGGTGTGTGCTCCTGGCTAGTGGTTCCCTGTGGGCCTCCTTCCCTGGGCTCTAGTCACGGGGCTCAGCAGAGCACATGTGTGCAGCTGCTAAGCAGTCAGGGCGCCGGCATTTCACTTACAAAGAAAAGCATGCTAGGCTGCGGTGACTACTTGGCCCCTTCATTGTGTAGCTGAGTAACTGAGAGAATGCTCTAGAATCAGCTGAGAGCTGGGAGCCCAGAAGCGCAAGACAGAAAAGGGGAAACAAGGGGGGGGGGAGGAGCAGGGGAGGGAAGGTGCATGGAAGTCAAAGCCACTGCTAGCCCCAAGCACAGCCCCACGAGGAAAACGGCAGCATGAATCAGAAGGTGAGAGGGACCATGAGAACTCCGAGGTTGGAAGACAGCCCTTCCAAATAATACTGATTCGTGAGAAGAGTCGTCCTCAGAGGGCTGGTATGGAGGGGAAAGCCCACCTCGCCAGAGCCCAGGGCACCACCCATCCCATGGCCCCTCTCCTACCACACAACCTTAGGCTGGTCATGGGGATATCCGGTCAGTGGATCCTCTCCCAGGGTGAGGTGGCAGGTCCCAATGAGCTGCAGAGGCCAAAGTATCCTGCCACCTTGAGGAGACTTTCTCATTGTTTTCCCAGAATCCACTAAAGGGTAAAACAACCGCATAGACCTTCTTGTGCGCCTCCGGTACGGACCTAAGGTGAGCCCTGCCATGCTCTGGAAGTTGCCTTAAGACAAGTGCACGAGGACAACCTGGATGTGACTGACGTGTTGGCTTGGAGAACTGTTGAAGAGGATCCTGTGCATTTCAGGAGGGTTACCGATCCATGGCCTCTACCCACCAGATGCCAGTAGGATTCCCTTTGTAACAACCCAAGAGGCCCCCAATGCCCCTTGTGTGCCACTTAGATCAGAATAATTATATTCATCTTCCTGCTACGTCCTCCAGGACACACATGGTCACCACTAACAGAGCACTGACCACATGACATCCTCCCAGTCACCTGGTCAGAACCTCGCCTTCTACAGGAGGAAACTGGGCCCAAGGGGGCGAGGGGACCCATCTTTCCCAGGCTTTCAAACAGACCCCTTTGCCACTGAGTCTATTTTAATTCACAGCCACCCAGCAGGGGGTTTCTGAAGCTGCACATCTTAACAGAAGCAAACAACCACATCTTTCTTCCTTCGCAGAGCGGCTGGGGGGAGAGGGTGTCCAAGCTGTGGCCCCCCAGGGCTCCTCGCCCGGGCTCTCCCGGCTACTTAATCCAAATGTCCTTGCAGAAGGAAGGCGTCAGGTCTAAGGAAGTGCAGTCTGTGGTTATCTAGGAGCGGCGGTCTGACATCCGGGCACAGCTCGGGGAGGGAGGTAACCTGTGTCTGCACTTTTTCACAGGAGGACACAGTAGCAGTGCTCAGAAACAGGACCCGCCTGCATGGTCGTCAGGTGCCAACCTAACCTACCGTGATTGGGACACAACTCTAACCCAGAGGGCAGGGAGTTCAGCGCCCCGTCAACCCAGCCAGGGTAAATGCTAAGCCACGGTCAGCAGGCCACCGTGTGTGTGCGGCGGCCGACTTTTAGTGACAGAGACACCTCTGGCCAGCTGGGTCATCCACCAGAGCTGGGGCCCAGCCAGCTGCCCAGCCTCCAAGTAAATCAAACCAAACCTTATTAGCCCAACCGGCATGTTCTATAAATAGCCACCGCTCAAAATCCCCGAGACCTGGCCACGACCTCTCTCTTAACTCCAACGCTCTCCCTCCCAGCCACACCCCGCTCCCCCAAACAGGCCTTCACACGGGTCTTTGGACCCGTTTTCTTCCTCTGCTGGGCTCTGTTTACCATTCGCCTCCCCTGACCAGGACGGAAGCCCCAGCTCTCAACACAGAAACAGCACAACAAGGGCAGTCTCAAGGCCCATTCTGAGTGGCAGCCCTTGAGTTGATTCTGACTGATAGGTCCCCACCGTGACCGAGCATGCCCCCACGGAGCTTGGGGCTGGCATCTAAACAAAGGCAGATCGCTCGGGGAGCTGCGGTGGGCCAGAGCCGTTAGGTGAGCACTGCACACCCGAGCCTAAACCCAAACACCAGACTGACAGGGTCCAGCGTCACAAGACAGAGTCCAGCTGCCCCACAGAGCTTCTCGGCTCCAGACTTCACAGAAGCCCCAGACCAGGCCTCTGCCCGCCTACAGCTGCTGGGGGCTTCAAACCACCGACCTTGTGCTAGGCAGCTGGGCATCTAACTGCCGAGCCTCCAGGCCTCATCTCGTGCCCCCTGGGACCAGTGTGGGGGTTCACTCTGCGGCCCAGCCATCTGTTTGAGCAAGCCCTCCGGACGGTTCTGGGGCCCCGCTCAAGTTTGTGGGACTAACTTAAACCTCTGGTCTCCACCAGAGTAACGGTAGGAGTGGGTAGCCTCGGCAAGGTCACGGTCAACAGAGATCTGACTTCTGTCTGTTCCTATTTGATGACACATTTGTGTGTAGCGCTCCCTAAGAATAAGGGACTGCTTCGGCCAGAGAGACCAGTCCCTGGAGAAGGACATCGTGCTCGGTCAAGCGGGGGTGGGGGTGGAGGGTGGGGGATGGACTGTCACAGTGGCTGCAACAATGGGGTCAGGCACAGGCACAATTGTGAGGATGGCGCAGGACCAGGCAGTGTTTTGTTCTGTTGGGCATAGGGTCACTGTGGGTCAGAACTGACTTGCTGGCACCTAGCCACAAGAAGCGTCAGGAGCCCTGGTGAGGGGCAGTGGGTAGGTAAGTGCTTGCCCAAAAGGTCAGAGTACTCAACCCACCAGCTACTCCCTGGGCGAAAAAAGTGGCAGTTTGTTTCCATAACGAGGTAGCCTTGGGGATCCTACAGGCTGCTTGACTCAGTCCTAGAGGGTCGGTCCAGGTCAGCATCGACACACTGATGGCAAAGGTCTGGGTTTTGTAAGACGAGTATAACACGCAGTCCCCTCTGAAGCTCCCGGCAAAGAGCTCGGCCTCAGGGGCAGCATCACCCCTTTGCTTGTGATGATTAGCGGTCCCCATAAGAAAAACGCTCCAGGAAATGAAGCCCAGTGTTTCCTGCCTTCCTGTGTGGACATGCAGCTCACGGCTCCCCTCTGCGCCACGGCCTGGGGCCAGGCTAGGAACTAGCTCATGGTACTGGAAGTCATGGCTGGAAGTCATGGCTCATGTGGACATTTGTGCCAAGGCTCGGAGTGCTCCGGTTTGCTTTCCAGCTCCTTCCCTGCAAACAGCTGCCACATGCTGCATCCTCATAAAGCCCTCCCACCACGGTCCCTGTCCCTGTGGACTCAATCCCGACGTGTTGCCCCTCCACGGGGGACAGAGCCGCCTGTGCTGCATCAGGCTTCCAATGGCTGGTTTGGGAAAACAGATCGCCAGGACTTCCTTCAAAGACACCTCTGGGTAGATCCAAACCTCCAGTCTTTGAGTCAGTAGCTGAATATTTATCGTATATACTCGAGTATAAGCCAAACCGAATATCAGCTGAGGCACCTAATTTACCATAAAAACTGCATTAAAATTGTGCTGAAAAACTCGCCTTATACACGAGTATATACAGTAACTATCTGGTCACCTGGGGACTCCTCAAATAGCACTGCACCCCCTCTCCCAAAACCAAATCCACTACCATCAAGTTGGCTCTAACTCAGTGATCCTGTAGGACAACGAGAGCTGCCCAGCTGTTTCCAAGGCTGCGATCTCTATGGAAACAGAGAGCCTCATCTTTCTCCTACCGAGTAGCTGGTGGTTTCGAACCACTGACCTTGCTCTTAGCGGCTGAGTGCTTAATCATGGTACCAGCCAACCCACTGCATGGAGTTAATTCTGACTCCGAGTGGCCCTGTGGAGTCAGAGTTGTGCCTTCCGGTTTCCAAGACTGTAAATGTTTACAGGAGCAGACAGCCTCATCTTTCTCCTAAGGAGCGGCTAGTGAGTTTGAACCACTGACCTTGTGATTAGCAGCCCAATGATTAACCCACGGCGTCCCCAGACCTCCTCATCTAGCTGCTGACCCACTGTGTGTGGCCCAAGAGCAAACACTGGGAACCCCTTTAGGTCAAATCCAGATCCCACTGCCTGTCAGACTCTGCCTTTGATTCGCCCAGCGTCCCTGCTGGGATTGGACGTGCTGGCTTCCAGAAGTCTACCACCTGGCGTTTCACTGAATTCTTGAAGGCCCGGGATAAACACAGGTTTTCTAATCAAGGTACAGTTGAGGCAGCTGGGTTACCTGGTCCTGCAGCTTCTGGAACATCAGAGGGTGTGGTTCTTCCAGAATCTTCTCGTTGAGCCGAGACTGGCCCTCCACATTGACCTGGGATGAGGCTTTACTGGACAGGAAGGTCATGTAGATCTCCTTGGCTTTGTCCTGCATCTGGAGGAGACACAGGGAGCCCGTTTGTTATCTGGGAGCACAGCCTTCCTGGCTGAGCCCAATTTGCCCCTACAGGCCAGGGGGGGGCGGGGGGGGCAGGCAGGGGCTGCCAGGCCAGAGAGCAGTCAGCCCTGCAGCCCCAGCTAAGCTCTCTCTGAGACAGCTCCCAGAGTCTAGCCTCTACCTGCTTCTGCCCTCATGCAGCTGTAACCTCATCTCCAGTCACAAACCCTGGGGAATGACGAGAGAAAGAATCGCTGCCCAGTGAGCCTTCAGGATAATCCTTAGAAAAAGTCTCCCAACTCAGGACTCGTGGGAGTATCATGCAGCCATCAAAAGGAATAAAGTTCTGATGCAGGCTACAGCCTGGGGCCTCGAACACATGGTGCTAAGTGAAAGCAGCCAATCAATCACCAAGGGCAAGAGATTGCATGGGTCCACTTATAGGAAATCCCCAGACACAGAAAGTGGGTTAGTGGTTGCTGAGGGCTGGGGGTGGGGCGGTGGGGAGACCACTTAATGGGCAAGAGCGCTCCTTGGGTAGCAAAGCCCTGGAACTGGTGCACACCATCACAAATGCACTCAGTGGCCCAGCACCGCACCTCTCACAGCGGTGCGCACAGCGGCGTGTGCTTGACCACTGGTCTGCCGGTTTGCTGCACAGCTGCCAAAGCCCTCCTCAGGGAGCTGAAGAAACAGAAGCCCCTACGGCTCCGATCCCGGGGGTCCCTCTGAGGACTGAGGGGCCGGGCTACTTCCGACCCCCTCATGTGTGTGAGAGAGAGAGCAGAACAGGAAACGTACCTCGGCACGATGGGCGCAAACATAAGCGTTAGGAGGACGGTGCAGGACAATGCAGTGTATCACTCCATTGCATGGGGGTCAGTAGGAGCCAGGCCCAACTCCACAGGACCTAACAATATTTGCATGCACACACACACAGATGTGAACAAGTTTAACCATGCACATACATCCCTACCACCTATTAAGCGCCTAATCTGTCTCAGACACATGCTAGGTGCCTTGCAGTCACAGCCCGACTTCCTTAAACCTCGGAACACCCAGCAAAGAGCCCCAGTCTGTTGTGCTGTTTCCCTGTCACGGAGAAGAATGTGGCCGGGGCTGCAGTGAGACGTGGGGCTGGGAGCCCCAGAGTCGTGTGTTGCCATTCAGTTCTCCGCAGATGAGACACGCTGTCCCTCCACCCCGTGTGGCCTGCCAGCCTTCTAGAGCCGAAGTGTCTTTTCCAGGCAACGAGATGAGACGCTGGCATCTCCGGTGCCAACTCCAACATGTTGAGAGTAACTCATCCCACGTGGACCCACAGCCAGTGCCCACAGAAGCAGCAGCCAGGAAGCCAAACAGCCCACTGCGCTGGGAAAACAGGCGCAACGCTCTCGGCGCGAAGAGGGCACTTTGCAGGCTCAGGTGCACCTGACTCAAGCCGTAGTCTTTCCAATCACCTCACACACGTGGGAGCTGAACAACGGATAAGGAAGACCCAGGAATTCTAGTGGTGGTGACGCACATTGAATATATACCATCGATGGCCAGATGAACAAATCCATCTCACTTTGATGATGACAACCAGAGGGCTCCCTGGAAAAGAGACTGTACCGGGCTGCCTTTGGACATGGCATCCGGAAAGACCCGTTCCTGGGAAAGAGCCTGGTGACTGACACGGCGGAGGGTCGGGGAAGGCCCACAGTGGGTGGAATGAAACTGTGGCTGCGACAAGGGGCTCACACGTGGCAACCATCCGGCAGCTGGTGCAAGACCAGGCTACGGTCCCTTGTGTTCTACATAAGGGCACCAGGAGTTAGACTCAACTCAATAGCAGCCAACACCAGCCCAATAACAATGACTACATCCAAGTAGTGAACTGAGCTCCGCTGTCCGCCCTGGAGTCCCCAAGGGTAGTCCTGCTGGGAAACCAGCTCCTACAGAGGCTCTAGCCGCCTTTTAAGTCTTAGAAGCAGAACCGGAAAGACTGAAAGCATCCTGCAGGCTTCAAATTCCATCAGCAACACTCTGATGGAAGGGGACGCCACCTCAGGGTGAGTGCTCGGTAGAAACAATATGCGTATCATCTGGGCTGCAGAGGCCTGGCCTGATCCTCCAGGACCTTCCTCCAAATTCTCTTTTCCGTTAGAGAAGGAAGCTTTCCTGGGCACTTACACACACACACACCCTCCCCCACTTACCCCAGCAGCAAAGATGGGGGCTGTTTCTCTAAGCACATGACCTTACTCTACAGAGGAAGCAGCAACGATTGCTTCGGAGACACAGAGCTGTGGTTTGTCTGGAGCACAGAAAGGTGTGCTGCAGAAAGCCCAAGCCGAGCAATCCCAGGCTCTCAGAACCCGCTGACCCGACCAGAAGGAAGAAGGCAGAAAGTTTCGAGGCCGGATGCTTAGAAACTGAGTGAGTTGGTTTGTTGTGTCAACTGGCCGATACACACATGTGGGATTGATTGAAGGGCGGAGGGATAAATGGCTTGGTGAGCCTCGCCTTTCGAATTCTTGGGTCTCTTGCTTTCTGGTGGTCGCACCAGGGTGCAGCTGCCTTAGGAGTTCCCTGCTTCAGCTTGCAAGGCTGACTTCCTGCCAGGCATCCCCAAGGAGAAGCCACATGGACCTACCCCGATGCAGCCCTGGGTGCTGAAGCAGCCATGTGGAGACCCCTGCCAGTGCTGAGATGCTTACACATTCACTGATTCGGCTTTCCTCCTGCAGTGGGCATCATTGCCTCTGTTTTGTGAGATGGAGGAGGACTTTGTGGATTGGTGTTGGACATATGGGTTAATGGGTTAACTGGGTTGGGCAGCACTGGGTTGGGATATTTTCTTGATGCACACTTAACCTTTACATAAAACGCTCTTATACGGGAGCAGGGAGGGAGGGGAAAAATGAGGACCTAATGTCGGGGGTTTAATTGGAGAGAAAATGTTTTGAGAATGATGAGGGCAATGAATGTACAAATGCGCTTTACACAATTGATGTGTGTATGGATTGCGATAACACTTGTATGAGCCCCTAATAAAATGTTTAAAAACAAACAAACGCTCTTATACATGGGTTTCTATGGATTTGTTTCTCTAAAGTACCCAGACGAACACACTGAGGAAAAGCCGTTTTTGGGGGGTGTTGCTATAGTTGTTCTGGGAACTCACTGACAAAGGTCCCCACGAACCCCAAATCTACTTCCTGTTCACCCACGAAAGCTAGCCTCACCAACGCCTTCAGGGGCAGGCCCAGGTGGGGATCACCGGCCACGCCCAAGAGGGCAGCTGTTACGGATGATTAATTTGAGCAGATCATCGCTTGTGTCACGCTCAAAACACAGGGGCCTCTGAAGAGGAAGCAGGCTATCCCAGCGACGGCCCAGGACGAGCAGCAAGACCCAGCACTGCAGAGCTGCCTGCCTCTCACGAAGGCCCCACTCTAAGCAGCCGCGGGCCTCCTCCCCACCGGTAGGAAGGAACATTTTTGGAAAACCACTTCCTGTTTCAAAGCGACTGTGTGAAAGCAGAATTTCAGAAGGTAAAACCCAACCAACTTGGTGTGATGAGAAACTTAACAGTAGTAATTCGGGGGGTTTTCAGGACAAAGACATAAAAGGAAGGACCTCGGCCACCAGAGCTGCTCACCCACCAATCTGCATCTCCGGACTTGCATCTGCGCCTAGAAGATGCGAAAAGCAGTAAGCCCAGCCTGACTTCTGTGCTAGTGTGCGGGAGGACTTCCACCACGGCGCATAGGCCTCTGAATGTATTTTCCTCTCAACCGTGTGTTGGACATGTGAACATGAAATACATTTGTAATCACCCGAAAATACAATGTTTTTTCAAAAAAACTTTTTTAAATCCATAAACCCTACATGGCCTGCTTTTTCTCTTCCCAGACACACATTCAGACAGGGAGATATGCACCCCTACATGGGACCTTGTAAATCCAGGCTATCTTAGATGGTTCTCAAAGGGCTAGCAGTGGCTCTCAACCTTCCTCACGCCACCACCCTTTCAAACAGTTCCTCATGTGGTGGTGACCCCCCCAAACCATAAAATTATTTCTGTTGCTACTTCACCATAATTTTGCTACTGTTATGAATCGTCAGGTAAATATCTGATATGCAGGATGTATTTTCATGGTTACAAATTGAACACAACTAATATAATTAAAGCATAGTGATTAATCCCAAAACAATATGTAATTTTATATTGTGAAATATCTGTGTGTTTTTCCGATGGTCTAAGGCAACCCTTGTGAAAGGGTTGTTTGACCCCCAAAGGGAGTCGCAACCCGCAGGTTGAGAACCGCTGGACCAGTGAGTAGCTTGGGATTCCTGGGTGATGCAGATAATTAAGGTACTTAGCTGCTATCTAAAAACTTGGGAGATGCCAGTCCTCCCAGAGACACGTTGGAAGAGGACCGTGAATCTCCTGAAGGCCAGCCATTGGAAACCCTTTACAGAGCCTCTGCCTCCACAAACTTGGCATCAGACTAGATGGTTCCCGGCTACCACTGCCAACGGTTCTGAAAGATCTCTTTAGAAGATCCTAGCTAGGAGGAGAGAAAAATGTGGAACCGAACTCAAAATTGTAAGACAGACCAGGTTTTCTGACCAGGTAGGCAGATGGGACCCCAAGACCATGATTCTTAGTCACCCTTCAGGTCCAGGACTGACTTCGCCTCCCTGTTAAAAATCATCAAAAGGGCACATTTACCCAGGAGCAAAGTCCAGAGGGTTAGGGAAGGAGGGGCAGAAACTGGAAACACAGGAAGAAGTCGATACTGACGGTATGTCCAGGGGGGTTACAGTAGCAGTGTCAAGGAAATGTGTGTGAACTGCTGAATGGAAACTTTGTAAACCTCAGGCCGTTCACAGCAAAATGGGGTTTTTTTTGTTTTGTTTTTAAGAGAAAGAAAACCCTAGGGAGCCCCATTCTCCTGTGACACACATGGGGTCACCATGAGTCAGGGTCAACCTGGCAGTCCCCA